AGCCACTGGAGGAAGGTGCCGATGAAGCCGATGCCGCCGCCGAGGACGATGGCGTGGTTGGCGAGCTTCCGCGCCGCCATGGTCAGCTCCCGCAGGTCCGACTCCAGCAGCGCCTCCGACGCGCCGGCCGCCGGGCCCGTCTTCATCGCGAGGAGCGACTTTGCCATGGCCGACCGCGCGAGACCTCTCTCAGTTATCACTCTCGCTCTTTTCTCTCCGGATCGAGCTCTGCTGTCTGCACAGCACAGGCCGAGAGTTGGGTATATGTACAGGCAACTGGACCGGGGTGGTCGACGGAACGGAACAGGTGGCGGTCGACCTGGACGATTCCGGGGGCAGCGTCCGCTGGCCCCGGGACACGTGGGGCATGGGCATTACTGGAGCTGCATTATTGCGTGCATGCATGCATGCATTACAGCGTTATCGAGTTTTTCTGCCGATGAAGCGTCATCGAGTCTGACCTTTGACCTCCGGGTGTACTTACAAAATGCAGCAAGGAAAAAACAGGCAAAATGCGAGTGACTTTAGCCGGCGACCGTAGGTTTTTGAAGTAGTTACACAAGTCCGATCCAGATTTAGCAAAACCAGAAGTGTCTTAAGGAGCGGAACAACGTGTCTGCCGTATCCTCCACACAAGCGGTACACTCCAAGCCTATGTCGACGGCGATTCATTTGGCACCCATGTCTGGCAGCCGTACGCATCATCTTTTTAAACGGATTACTCTCAGGATCGCCGTCGACATAGGCTCCGCATCAATGCGTGGCCACCCACCGCCGGGACCATCAGATTAACCCGAAATCCGGCGCCAAACCACCCCTGCTAATCCTAATCAAGCCTCTCCGTCGACCACAAATATCAAGCGTATGAGGCATCTGTCTTTATCAAAGGTTCCACGTTTGCCTGCCGGATCGCCATGGTCGAATATCTTATTGGCGGTGTTCATGTGGTGGGGTCCCGTGATTCAGCCGGCGCGCGAGCTGTCACGTCTAGAAGTCGGCAGAAGGCCCCGCGCCACTGGAACGCCGCCACGTGGGTACTGCGAGGGACGTGTTGGAGCACGTACGTCGCCCTTGCTGTCCTCCCACAGACGAACCTATCACAAGGCAGAAGCTCCTCAAGGACATGCCGCAATAGGTCGGATATTCGGCGTGCGTGGCGCCAAGGGCAAACTCCTGACGGCAGGTTGTTGAATCTAACGCCGTGTTCGATTGCGCGGTTTGTTTTCGGCCGTCCAGCGCGCCGTGACCCAGTGTAGACTTGCACGGACTGAAACAAGGTATGGGTCAAGTTCTATATGAAAATACACAACGGAACCTGCGTCTAAGCACACCCGGAAAAAAATTTTAAAAAATGTAAATGTAAGAATTCTGAAACTTTGTAGGAGCAAGTATTGTCTACTGTATTACTCTCTGTAAAGTTTCGGGGCAAAATGACTTCCATGATATTCAGAACGATTAAAAATAAAACAGATACTCTCTCCGATCCAAATTAATTGACGCGGCTCTAGTACAAATTTGTATTTGTAATTAAGCTTATTATTCACACATTTTGTATTTGTAATTTTGTCTTTTTATCAAAAATACCATAGAAGTCATCTTGTTCCGAAACTTTACATGTGGTTAATAAAGTATACAATGCTTGTTCCGACAAAGTTTTATTTATTATTTCCCAAATGCTAAAAAGTGCAGCTCTACTTTTTGGGCGTCCCGAGCACACCCCTCTCGCTACCGTCGGATCGAGATCGCGAAGCGCAAGTGTTTTTCGGTCGGGCGCGCGGGTGGATTCGGTCTATATCGAAACGGCACCGCGCATGTTGGGCAAAACGGCCAAAGCGGTGGAGGGCCCACCACGTCCCGCACCTCTCTCTCCACCTCTTCCCCGCTGCCCACGCCCTGGCATTCATTCTATTCAAAATCGTGAGAGGGAGGGGGTTGTGCAGTTGCTCCGCCGGCCAAATCCATCGCCCGACAAAACTCAACGCAGTCCGCAGCTACCGAAGTTAGGACGACGCGACAACCGTGGATACGAGAGGTGTGGTTCGGGGCACCCACGTGCCGCGGCTTCGTATCCCCTCTTTGTCAAGTACTCCCTTGGTTCCTAAATACAAGTATTTCAAGAGATTACACTATGGACTATGTACGGACAAAAATGAGTGAATCGACACTCTAAAATGTGTCTATATACACCCGCATATATAGTGGAATCTCTAAGAAGACTTATATATAGGAACGGAGAGAGTACATGACAGAAGAGGGTCGGAGGAGGGTTTGGGGGAGGTCCGGTGACTTCGCGCAGCAGTGCTACTTGTTCGGGCTAGCGAAGAGGACATCCCCGCAGCCATCCAAACCCGAGGTAAGCGTGACGTCCCTCTTATGTGCGATTCCATTTTCCCACGACGACAGCCTCGTTGCATGCGGCGGTAGGTGCGAGCGTTGAGCCAGGGGCGTCGGAGATTTTTGCAGGTAGGCAGGAGATTTCTGGATGTTGTTTTCGATTCGCGACATGTGTGTTCGAGGAACGGGGGGTATATTTGCTGAAAGATCGTGGATGTCGCCTAGAGGGTGGTGAATAGGAACTTTGAAATAATTACGGCTTAGGCTTGAAGAAATGTGAAATAAAACTAGCGTTTAATTTGTCAAACACAAAACCTAAAACAATTAGGCTCACCTATGTGCATCAACAACTTATGCTAAGTAAGATAAACAACTAGGTGATAGCAAGATATATAACATGAAACACTATGGCTATCACAAAGTAAAGTGCATAAGTAAAGGGCTCGAGTAAGAGATAACCGAGGCACACTGAGACGGCAATGTATCCCAAAGCTCACATCCTTGTGGATGCTAATCTCCATTTGGAGCGGTGTGTAGGCACAATGCTCCCCAAAATGCCACTACGGCCACCGTAATCTCCTCACGTCCTCGCACAATGCAAGATATCGTGATTCCACTAAGGGACCCTTGAGGACTGTCGTCAGCGAACCCATACAAATGGCAACCCTTGGGGGCGGTCACTGAACCCGTACACTTTGGCAACCCTTGGGGCGGTCACCAGAACCCGTACAAATTGCTCGGGGCGATCTCCACAACCTAATTGGAGACCCCGACGCTTGCCCAGAGCTTTACACCATAATGATTGAGCTCCGAGGCACCACTAACCGTCTAGGGCGCCCAAGCACCCAGGAGGAACAAGCTCTAGGGTACCAAGCACCCAAGATAAATAAGCTTCTCAACTTTCACCTCCATATATCACCGTGGAGAACTCAAACCGATGCACCAAATGCAATGGTAAGGGCACACGAAGTGCCCAAGTCCCTCACTCCCAAATCCCATCAAAGCAACGAAAGCTATGGAAAAATATGAGAGGAAGAACAAGAAGGGGAACACCAAGAACTCCAAGATCTAGATCCAAGGGGTTCCCCTCACAAAGAGGAGAAAGTGATTAGTGAAAATGTGGATCTAGATCTCCTCTCTTTTTTCCCTCAAG